AGCAAGGAAGAGAACTAGGAGGTAAGTTCAGGCTGGTTTAGGCTAGTTTGTGGTAAAAATGAAAATAAAAGGAGAAAAGAGAATCCAGAAATTTGGAACCTTTTGGGTTGAAAACTCAACTAGTTTTAGTCTCCGAAAATGAAAAGGTCCGATTCAGAAATGTTTTCTGCATTAAAGATCCATTAATGCAGAGTTCTGCCACAAAGTATAAGTGTTGAGTTCCCTCCAAGCTGGCTTACCTCAATGTAGCTGCACTTACATTGAAAGAAGAGAAGGAATGGGGAGAAAAAAATTTATCAGGCTGGAGAATTATGGTAATTAATTATGAATATTCAAGATATTTTGGCATTTTTCATGCAATTGAAATCAACTGGAAGCAAATAATCAGAAGCCTACACATTTTTTTCAAATTGCTCAGCTAAAGAAATCACAAGCCAGACTTTTCAACCTTTAACTTTTCAACCTTTAACTTCAACTTGCATTGATGGGATAGCATGTGTGAAAACGATACCACTTCCTAGAAGATCTGGTACCAAAAAAAGAAAAACCAAGAAACCAAAAAACAAACAAACCATGGAGGATAATACAGTAAAAAGAACTCCCCTTAGGGCAAAGCTAGAGTCCACCTCCCCCTCCCCCTTTTCCAGCACAATGATAAAATCATTTAATTATGAATTGACTTGTGGTTTTGGGGTAGGGGGAGGATGGGGGGAATGGATAGTTAGGGAGTTTGAGATGGTCATGTACACACTGCTATAGTTAAAATGGATAACCAACAAGGACCTACTGTACAGCACATAGAACTCTACTCAATGTTATGTGGCAGCCTGGATGCGAGGGGAGTTTGGAGAAGAATGGATAAATGCATATTTATCCATTGTCCATCGAAGGGACAGCTGAGTCCCTTTGATCCTATCACAGGATCCTATCATAGGATTGTTAATCAGCTCTGCCCAAATAGAAAATTTAAAAATTTTTTTAAAAAATTGTTATTCTCAAATTGAAGACTGAAGTGAAGTCAAGGAAGTTCCCCACTTTGGGGCAGAGATTTCATAGTGCCTACTTGCAGGGTTGTATTGTGGCTATTGACCAGTGATCCCATTCTTCCCTTTTCTAAATGAGAGAGTTGACTGTAGATTTCCTCTCTGCTTATGAGTGTGTGCACAGGTCAGATAAATTGTCCCAGGATCATGAGAAGCCACAGAATCTTAATGGAGAGATCAGTACAGCTACTGGAGATCTGGATTTGAGTTGGGTACAGTAACTGCATAGAATTTTAGGATGTTTCTCTGGAGTAGGAGTGAATGTATTCAATGTGAGGGATTTACAGACATAGCGGATGTGGCAAAGACAAAAGATGTATTTGTCTCTTAAAAATTCATGCTTCCTTTCTATGGTGTAGAGTTGTTTCTGGGAGGCATGTGTGTGTAGGCATTTCCCAGCATCTTTTGCTTTCAGGTAGGGCTTTTAGGCTAGCTCTCATCAATGAGCTATGAGTAAAAATAATGACTGTTATTTCCAGGCTTAAATGTTTAAGAAGCAGGTATACCTTCTTCATTTTTTCTTCTCTAGTCAACTGGCTGTATTTGAATGACTCCAGAGTCCTATACGGTGGGGCTACAAGGCAGAAGCAGTCTAAACCACCTCATGGAAACATGCTTACTGAATACCAGCATTGGACTCTTGTGTGACCAAAGGAAAACAATTCTATTATGTTAAATCATGAGTTTCAATGTTTATCTGAATCCTCTGCTACTCATACTAGATAATTACAATGGACACATAGTTCTAAAAATTATTTTGTGGCTATAGGAGCAAATATATATTTATATGTCTCTCTGTATATCACACACACACATGAATTTAAGGACAAAGAAATAAAAATTTAAATTTAAATAAAAATTTAAATTTATACATTTAGATTTTAGAAAATGGTGCCTGACTAGCATGCAATTACTTCAGGGCAAATTTAAGCCTAAGAGGTTAAACACACAAAAAATGTGATAGGATTTAATAAGGCAGGCAATGTGTTTTTAATATCATTGTATTCTTGGGGCTTCCCTGGTGGCTCAGATGGTAAAGAATCCACCTGCAATGCAGGAGACCTGGGTTCAATTCCTGGGCTGGGAAGGTCCCTGGGAGGAGGGCATGGCAACCCATTCCAATATTCTTTTCTGGAGAATCCCCACAGACAAAGGAGCCTGGCAGGCTGCAGTCAGTCCATGGGGTCACAGAGAGTCTGACATGACTGAACAATTAAGCACAGCATAGCACATCCTTCACAGCATCTATACAGTGAGGAAGAGACAGTACTTTTTGAGTATAAGATAAAGAAAACCAATGCTTTTATGGATTAGTAATAGGAATTAGTAGTAAGTCCATACATCATGCAAGATGACTGCAGGGTCACTAGCTATTGTGGAGCTAGGCCCTAGAACATCACTTCATTATAGTATTACGGAGTTAGTGGTATCTTTGGGCTTCCCTGGCGGCTCAGATGATAAAGAATCTGCCTGACATGCAGGAGGCCCAAGTTCTATCCCTGGGTTCGGAGCATCCCCTGGAGGAGCGCATGGCAAACCACTCCAGTATTCTTTCCTGGAGAATTCCATGGACAGAGGATGCTGGTGGGCTATAGTACATGGGGTTGCAAAGAGTCAGACACGACTGAGCGACTAACACTTTCACTTTCACTTTTTTCATGGCTCTTAAAAACAGCCTTTAGTTGGTGCTAAGTGACAAGCTCAAGTCTATAGCAGGGACACTATCAGGGAAAATATCAAATGTATGTCATGCCTGTCATTTGCCTATTTATTCTCAAATCCATCCCTTTCCACTACACTGCTCAGTTCTGTATCACCAGGGGCTGACCCTGCAAACTACATGCAAGAAAAAGCTATTTACAAATGATACTTAATTTGTGAAATGACTTACATTTTTATTAAATATGTACACTGTCAGACCTCTTCAGTGTCCTAAATTTATACACAGGCAAAATTAGAAATTATCACATAATCACTTCTATTTTAAATGTTACCACAAGTATATAAAATTATGTTCATATGGGACAACTAAGTGTGTTAGACATTTCAGTGTCATTATCCAATCTCTTAATCTTTTTTCAGTACCCATACATTTTTAGTTTTGATACCTTGGGACCCCTATTCACATAATAAGAAAGATTTGCTCAAAAAAATTATTTACATTAAGGTTTTCACTGAAAAATTCCATTTAAGATTTCACCAATCTCTTCCCTGCAAATTTAATGTTTATTTTTCTTAACCAGTATATACAGCACCATATAACATTATGATTTATTTAAAGTTGTTTATAGAAGAAACATTTTAATGTAAAAATAATTGTAAAAAATAGAACACATTTTTTTCAGTTCTACTCAGTATTTGGGTTTAAATGTCTGCATAGTTTATTGATTTAAAAACAATAATTCAAAGTACAATGTATAGTGAAGGCCACAGTACAAAGACTTCTCCATAAATTAAAAGCTAAAGCTATAGCTTTGAGCATTACAGTGGAAGACAGAGTAAGATAAATGATATTCCTCATACCTACATCACTAACTGGTTTGTTACCGGCACAAGTTATGAACACGCTTGTGCCTAATTATACAACTTAACTTTTCTTAGATTTTCACTGATGTTTACTTCTTGGTGTTTTTCAAATATTTGGACATCTAGACAACAGTTCCTCATATTCAATCCACTCTTTAAAAGTGAAGGTAATAGATCTCTATGGCAGACTTAAAACAGAGCCATATCTGACAATTCACCAATATCTCTAAGAAATCCATACTAATCTCACATGGATGGATTTTGCTCCCACCTGGGAGCTTAGGAGCTAGCAGGCAGAATGAGGTACTTTTCAATATTTCTACAAGAAAATGACTGATTTGGAAATCTTGCATGTCATTATCATCAGCATTAATTATTGCTTGCAAATAGCATTATCCAAAGCAGGTGCATTTAATGATCCTGTCTTAAAATACCTGACAGGGAAAATGACAAAATACAGTTATTTTTACCTCTTGTTATTATGGCTTTGAAGACACAAAAACATCTTCAGTTGAGGCTGTCACAAAATTGGTTTCTTCTCTACATCTAAACATAGAACTCTGAATGAAGATTAGAACACTCATGAAGATTAGAAGAAAAAAGTTTTACTGAAAAGCAGGCATTTTTGAAATTGGCACAAATAAAGAAGGAATCTGAAAAAAAATTACATTTGTATTTCTTCCTTAACAAGTGTGTCTTAAATACAACATTTTAGGAGTACTAACTATGCTTATTTGCTATAGCTTTTAAAGTTTCATTCCTGAGATTTTTGGAGTCAAAATTTTTAAAGCAAGCACAGAGGAAAAGATGTTTTCACCAGATGGAAGGGTGAACTGTAGATCAACACCTCAGTCAGTTATTTTTTGTCATTTTTCCATACATCAGATTTTTCATTTGGGATATATTCATACAGTAATTTACTCCTTACCTACTGGGCCCTAAATATGCCATGTTCTTAAAGAGCTAAAATAGTCAGCTGAAAGATGGTGCATAAGTAAAAGTTATTGTTACTAAATATTTGCCATTGTAGGTAGCTTCCTTCTTTTAAAGTGTGAACATAGAGACAAAATGAGCTTTTTACATCTGCTTTGAATTAAATAACAATTCAAGTATCTCTTTTAAAATGAAGTTCTGAAGAAATTAACATTTATGAATCACAAATTTAAATATATCTTCTGAAAGGCAGAATATTCCTGGAATATCCCTTGTTTAGACTATAAAGATCAAAACCTAGCTTTGGTCCATGTCATATTTTTGATATTTCCTCATTTTTAAAAGTCTGTATATTAACTAATCATTTAGAGAAAATGAACATCACATGCGTGAAAGGAAGGCTTAAAACAGTAACATTTCACTTAAAAAGCTATATTCAATAGAAGATGGAGTATGCCATTTGTGCTTATTTTCAGTTAAAGCTGACATATAAGATGTTCACTGCATTTTCGTGTGAAATGGGGTTGTGTCATAATCTTGAAAATGAATTCCCTTAGAAGTTGTGATCTTCATAATAGCACCATTCAAAGCATCATCCTCGATGAGTGTTATTAATCCATTGGCAATCATTGAAGGGCTAAATATAAAGGGAAAATAAATATTTTTAAATCAAAGAATAAGGCATAATTGTCACATCACTTTGAATTATTTTTGAAGTATCTATCCCTTTAACAAATAATAGGGAAATGTATGTTATGCAGAACTGCTACCTGAGTTTTTAATTCAATGAGATATTCACTGAATTATAAATTTGCTGTAGATGTCCACACCTAACCTTCTGTTATTTTGATAGGAAGGATTCATAAATTTATCCTTATTATTTACATTGAGTAAATGACTATTTTCCCACCTTTAGCCTATCAGCAGAGTTTAGACCTATCAGAAATGTTCTTAGAGTAGAAATTTAAAGAATTGTCAGTTTAGTCACTCAGTCATGTCTGACTCTTGCCATCCCATGGACTGCAGCACGCCAGGCTTCCCTGTTTATCACCAACACCCAGAGCCTGCTCAAACTCATGTCCATCGAGTCAGTGATGCCATGCAACCATCCCATCCTCTGTCGTCCCCTTCTTCTCCCACCTTCAATCTTTCCCAGCATAAGGGTCTTTTCAAATGAGTCAGTTCTTCACATCAAGTAGCCCAAGTATTGGAGTTTCAGCTTCAGCATCAGTCCTTCCAATGAACACCCAGGACTGATTTCCTTTAGGATGGACTGGTTGGATCTCCTTGCAGTCCAAGGGACTCTCAAGAGTCTTCTCCAACACCACAGTTCAAAAACATCAATTCTTCAGCGCTCAGCTTTCTTTATAGTCCAAGTCTCACATCCATATATGACTACTGGAAAAAAACCATAACTTTGACTAGATGGACCTTTGTTGGCAAAGTAATGTCTCTGCTTTTCAATATGCTGTCTAGGTTGGTCATAGTTCTTCCAAGGAGCAAGTGTCTTTTAATTTCATGGCTGCAATCACCATCTGCAGTGATTTTGGAGCCCAAAAAAATAAAGTCTCTCACTGTTTCCGTTGTTTCTCCATCAATTTACCATGAAGTGATGAGACTGGATGCCATGATCTTAGTGTTCTGAAAGTTGAGTTTTAAGCCAACTTTTTCATTCTCCTCTTTCACTTTCATCAAGGGGCTCTTTAGTTCTTCTTCCCTTTCTGCCATAAGGTTAGTGTCATTGCATATCTGAGGTTATTGATGTTTCTACCAGTAATCTTCATTCCAGCTTGTGCTTCACCCAGCCTGGCATTTTGCATGATGTACTCTGCATATAAGTTAAACAAGCAGAGTGACAATATACAGCCTTAACATACTCCTTTCCTTATTTGGAACCAGTCTGTTGTTCCATGTCCAGATCTAACTGTTGCTCCTTGACCTGTGTACAGATTTTCTCAGGAGGCCAAATTGTAGAAAGAGAAAGAATTTTAGAAGGAGAAAGAATTGTAGCCAGCATTTATTGAATATCTATTATTTATCTGCTGCTATTTTAAGTACCTTCCATTTATCAACTTGTTTGTAGACTTTCCAAAGTCCTATAAGCTTGTTATACTATCACTCCCATTCTACATTTGAGAAAATTGAGGCACCCAGAGGTTGACGGATAAGTTTGTGGTTGGTGGTGGGGTCAGGATTTGATACCGATGACTCCATCCTGTGAAATGTCGACTGCTCTAACTCAGACATGGTTAGTAAAGTGGTTGAAGTTAGAGGGCCACACGAAATGTCATGAAGGGTATATTTAAATATTTCTTGGAATTTAGGCTTGAGAAACCTGTATGCAGGTCAGGAAGCAACAGTTAGAACTGGGCATGGAACAACAGACTGGTTCCAAATAGGAAAAGGAGTGCGTCAAGGCTGTATATTGTCACCCTGCTTATTTAACTTATATGCAGAGTACATCATGAGAAACGCTGGGCTGGAAGAAGCACAAGCTGGAATCAAGATTGCCAGGAGAAATATCAATAACCTCAGATATGCAGATGACACCACCCTTAGGGCAGAAAGTGAAGAGGAACTAAAAAGCCTTTTGATGAAAGTGAAAGAGGAGAGTGAAAAAGTTGGCTTAAAGCTCAACATTCAGAAAAGATGAATGGCATCTGGTCCCATCACCTCATGGGAAATAGATGGGGAGACAGTGGAAACAGTGTCAGACTTTATTTTTTTGGGCTCCAAAATCACTGCAGATGGTGATTGCAGCCATGAAATTAAAAGATGCTTACTCCTTGGAAGGAAAGTTATGACCAACCTAGATAGCATATTAAAAAGCAGAGACATTACTTTGCCAACTAAGGTCTGTCTAGTCAAGGCTATGGTTTTTCCAGTGGTCATGTATGGATGTGAGAGTCGGACTGTGAAGAAAGCTGAGTGCCGATAAATTGATGCTTTTGAGCTGTGGTGTTGGAGAAGACTCTTGAGAGTTCCTTGGACTGCAAGGAGATCCAACCAGTCCATCCTGAAGGAGATCAGTCCTGGGTGTTCATTGGAAGGACTGATGCTGAAGCTGAAACTCCAATACTTTGGCCATCTCATGCGAAGAGTTGACTCACTGGAAAAGACCCTGATGCTGGGAGGGATTGGGAGCAGGAGGAGAAGGGGATGACAGAGGATGAGATGGCTGGATGGCATCACCGACTTGATGGGCATGAGTTTGAGTAAACTCTGGGAGTTGGTGATGGACAGGGAGGCCTGACGTGCTGCAATTCATGGGGTCGCAAAGAGTCAGACACGACTGAGTGACTGAACTGAACGTAACTGGAATTTAGGCACTTCTTCCAAAGACAATTAAACATCTCCTTTTAAAAAAGTACTTCCTTATGGCTAAAGGTATTAATAATTCATTCTCTACATCTAAAAACAAAATTCATGATATATAAATAGAGGCTATTCAGAAACCCAGAAAAAAGTTTTTTGCAGAGATTTTGCCAAACCAAAACTTTGAAGCTCGCATGAGTTTCTCAGATGTAAAAGCTAATTTTTTCCCTTTTGATTGTTTATATCTAGATGGCCCTTTGCTTTGTCATATTAAAGGAAGATAGGTATAGCTTTACTTACTCCAAAACTCCATAGTATTTCATCATATCCTTGATAGGACCCATGTATTCTATATATTTCCCCATGTTTTCTTCTTTTTCAATGGATTTGAGGATGGGTGTATTAACAAAGCCTGGGCAAATTGCGTTCAGTCTCACACCACTGTTCATGAGATTAGCAGCCATCTGTCAATTGGAAGTAGAAGGTTGCAGGTTTCAGGAGTTTTGTAAATGTATCATGTATGATAAACTGATAATTAAAGCTACTTAAAAGACTCTGATGTGAAAATCACTAACAGCTATCCTTCTAGCTCTATAAAGATAGCTATGGTAAGGCTGACTGATGGCAGAAAGTTAAAGAATACATAACTAAAGTGGTAAACTAATTCCCAAAAGCCTCACTGAATTTCTAAAAATTCAGTATAGAGCACTTCTGAAAATACTTGATTATCTAAAGTATTCTTACCTACTCAACAGTGCAGGAAGCTGAAGGTAAGAAGCTAAGGCTTAGGTAGAAAGATGTATATGTATGACCGAGCCCGTTCACTTTCCACCTGAAACTACCACAATGTTGCTAATCAGCTATACCCCACCACACACACACAAAGTTTAAAATAAATAAAAAATAAGCTAAGGCATTAGAATTGATATCCCAAGTTTTCTTTGAAACGGGTTGTATTAAAGTATTCTTACTTACTTAAAAATACTTTTAGTGGAAAATTTTAGGACTTTCATTATTCTAAAGACATTTAGTAACTGGCACTATCTGGACGACAATTTTAAGTATTTTCAGACTAACATCTTTTGGCTTAATTTTCAACTTATAGATTTTATTTGAACTATTCGTAAAACAAAATTTAAGTCAGTTGTTTGTAGATTCCTTTTTCTTCCTTGCTAAAATTTACTCATAAGACCTCAAATCAATACTCATAATGCTTCAAGTTTATCTGTGGACAAACACAGAGTAATCAGAAATTTGAGTTGCCTGATGTGGACTAAGGTCAAACAAGATGATGTTCTGCTTTCTTGTTTCAGCTCCTGTACCGTAAACAAGCATACTTTTCAGGGTACTTGCCCAGGTTTTTCTCATCTGTGTGCTTTTTTTTGTGATTTAACTATTTGAAATGCCCTCAAGGCATAGTGCTGAAGTGCTTTCTAGTATTTCTAAGTGCAAGAAGGCTGCAATGTGCCTTATGGGAGAAAATACGTACATTAGAGGAGCTTCCTTCAGGCGTGAGGTATAAAAGCTATTGGCCATGCTATTAATAATACAATACGTATTACACACAATACATATTAAATAAGGTGTCTTTAAATAGAAATATACTTAAAACTATGCTGTGTGTGGATTGGTTGAACAGGACATTGTGACCAGAGGCTTGCAGGAACTTAACCCCGAATTTCCCTTAGAAGCAATAGTTCAGTATCCTCTAATTCAGTGTTTGCAAGTGATTTTACAGAACATAACTAGCAAATAATGAGCATCAATTGTACAAGTTCCAGTCTTGTAACTGTAAATACAACATTTCTGGTCTTTGCTTTGATTAACTTTGCTCCCCTTGTGGCTCAGCAGTAAAGGATCCACCTGCAATGCAAGAGCTGCAGGAGACACGGGTTTAACCTCTGTGTCCGGAAGATCCCCTGCAGGAAGGCAGAGCAACCCACTCCAGTATTCCTGTCTGGAGAATCCCATGGACAGACGAGCCTGGTGGGCTACAGTGGCAAAGAGTCTGACACCAGTGAAATAATTTAGCGTGCACGCATGAATGCACTTTGTTTTGTAATAATGTTATGTGTTCATTAAAAGTTGATTTAAAGATTAAGACTTTGCAAGTTAAATTAAAATTTCCAATCAGTTTCGATTAAGAGTGTGACAGCTGCTATTTTCCTTTTTGACTGAACATTTACCATTCACCGTCTGCTTTCTCTATGCCTATCATTTCTTGCTATTAATGATTTCCTCGTCATCAGGCCCCTCTCTCCGTCTCAACCAGAGTAACCACTGCAGAGGTCTCCCAACTGCTCTTTTGTCTTCTACTTATGTCCTCTCTCATACATTTTGTTTTGTTTTGTTTTTTGGCAGCACCACACGGCTTGTGGGATCTTAGTTCCCTGACCAGGGACTGAACCCTCGCCCCTGGCAGTGAGAGTGCAGAGTCATAACCACAGGATCACCAGGGAATTCCCATACATTCTCTAAATAGTAGCAAGAATGGTCCTCTTCACATGGAAATATAATTTTGTCACTCCTGTGCAGAAAAGACCCAATGACAGCTATACTTAGAATAAAGTCCAAGTTCATGACCTTGACCCGTAAGTCGCCTTTGGTCTGGTTCTTGCTTACACCTCCGGTCAAACATCATTCTACTTTACCCGTGTTCATCAGGCTCCACTTAAGCTGTACTTTTTTTTTCAGTTATTATAAAAAGGTACATCATACTATCAATGCATGTGGTCAGTTACAGCTAAAATATTTTTCTAAGCTCCGCACACATTTACCCTAGATCTCTATGGAGACAGAATCCTTGACAATGCTACCAGGTAAAAGCTAGCCTCACCCTTCCTCCATCCTCCAGGCTCTGACTCATTTTTACCATATCTTCAGGATAAGTAATGCATGGAGCATTTAAGGAAGTCTATAGTTAATGATTTTTTAATTTGGAGTCAATTTCAAAAATAAAGCCTTTTTTGTTTTTTTAATCCTTAAGGATTTTTTCAGTAACCTTTGTTTAGAATCTACTTCATGTTAAAATAATCTACTCTATAGTTGGTCCTTATGTTACCTGGAAACTATTTTTAATAATAAATAAGGATGAGGTGGCTAGCTAGCATCACCAACTCAATGGACATTAATTCGAGCAAACTCTGGGAAATAGCGAAAGGCCGAGGAAGTCTGGCATGCTGCAGTCCATGGGATCACAAAGAGTCAGACACGGCTTAGTGGCTGAACAACTCTGAAGTATAATTTATTTTTCTATCTTTAATCTAAATGTATCTAAAAATTTTAAAGCAAATTCTGGCTTTTTTTTTTTTTTCATAAAAATGTAAACATACAATGCACTCTACCTGCACTGTTTACTTTTCCTGCCTTTTTTTTTTTTGGTCATACCATGCAGCTTGTGTGATCTTAGTTCCTTGACCAAAGATTGAACCCATGTCCCCTGCATTGGAAGTGAGGAATCTCAAAAACTGGACCACCAAGGAAGTCCCTAAATGTACTGAATTTTAACTCTGTTCCCCTCTACTTTATAGAGCTCATCTGTCACATTTGCGCAGAAAGAGAAAGAGAGATATTGTGGCTGTGTTCTCACCGCTGCCGAGCGTGTGAATCCAATTATGCCATGTTTTGAAGCACAATAAACAGGCTGCTGTGCAACAGGCATGAGCCCTGAAACAGACAAATAAAAACCAAAAACAATTTTATTTTAAAAAAGCAGACAAATCCCAACAATTGCTATGAAAATAAATAATCTGTGCCTGTTCCATTTTAAGATTGATCTTAGAAAATACTCTAAGGTCATCACTGGACAACTTTGCAAAACTCACTAGTCCTAGCATTGTATATTTCTAGCATGACCTCTGCTCTATTGTTCTGAATTTACAGTTGGTAAGTTACAGCCTAAAGATACAGGCAAGGGTGATATAAAAGTTTATCTGCTTCCTTGACAAAGTCAAGAAAAGTTGACCTTATCTAAAACACCAAAAGAATCATCTTGAAAACAAGTAAGTTACTATTAACTTTCAGTTTTTAAGCCTGGATTTTAAAAAGTGTATATTCTGCATTTCTTAAGGTTGAAGGAATTTAAATAGCTTAAACAGGATTTGGAGGGTACTATTTGTCTTCATTTTAAGTTGGTCAGCATTTCTCTCCCCTGAACTGCCCTGAAAAATGCCTCTAAGTGTTGAAGACAATTAAAATTTAACTTCTTTTGATTCTGATCTATAGCAGATGCCTAGATCTTCTCGTTCCATGACTTAGGAAAAGAAAACCAGAAACAAAAATGCTTGATCCTAATTTATTTCCTTTCATAATTACATACTCAACAACAGAATTCAAGCAATTTTACAATTGCCTTAATTTTCCATAGACATGCAATAGTAACTGTTCAAATATATGATTAAATTCACAGTCCAGGAAAAGGTAGTATTGTAGCATATATAGTATCTTTTCTCTCCTACCTCCCAGCCCAATAGCACCTCCCATCCAAAGAAACGAAACAAGAAAAACAAACTTTAATGTAGATATTTGTACTACCAAGCTTATTTTTTTTTTAAAAAGTTTTTCTGTTTTATGGGAGTATAGCCAATTAACAATATTGTGATAATTTCAGAACAGTGAAGGGTCTCAGCCATACATATACATGTATCTGTTCTTCCCCAAACTCCCCTGGATGAAAGGGGTTTTGGGGGGAGACAGTAGGTTCTTGTTGGTTATCCATTTCAAATATAGCAGTATGTACATGTCCATCACAAACTCCCTAACTATCCCTTCTCCCATCCTTCCCTCCAGCAACCTTAAGTTCGTGTTCTATGTCTGTGAGTCTGTTTCTGTTTTGTAAATAAGTTCACTTTTATTTCTCCTAATTGTCAATTCTCTATCTCAATCAACAGTGAAACTTTTAATTACAGCTGTTTTTCCATCTTGGCTTTTAACTTCCTAAGTCAATGTGCTCTATCATTTTTAAAATTTGTGCCTTCTCCAAATCAGGAAGCAGCAATCCCTGATTACTGTTATTACTATCAAATATCATGCTAATACTACTAAATGATTCTGCTGAGATGTGCTCACCTCCACCCAGCTAACTAGTCCCAGAACACTACTGATCATGAGCCGGTTACGCCAAAGTTTAGCGAACCTTAAGCACTTCCTGGGTGCCTGCCAGGTCTCAATTTATGAAGTATGTTTGCTCAAGAGCAGTTTAAATCCCTGGGATGGTAGATCACACAGACTGCATCCACCCAGTGATCTCAAAGCATGGAACATGTGCTTCTCCTTTTTGTTTTGTTTTTGTTCAGTAACATGTGCAAGTTAATTAAGGTCTTCAGTGTCAGTCAACAAGAATTCATGATTCTTTCACAGATGAATTAGGTACACAGGTGTATTAAGAGATCAAGATAAAGCAAATAAACAGGTACAGTCAGACACTGCTGCTTCTTGTTCTTGTTAGTTAGTTACTGTTCTACCGTCTCCTTCAATGTTTATGAGGTCAAGGCAGCGGTTGTAGGTGGTGTTCACAAACAGCAGGAAATGCAGAGTGAACCTGAATCAGAGATGAGCTAGTTGACAGCCAAAACTCAGAAGGACGCTGATCACAGACTTTGTCAAAGATGAAGGTGGGATGAATTTCTGTTACATATGTTAGAGCACTGAACTTCTGAACCCAAACTGGTTCAAAGTGTCACAGCAGTGAAGGAGATATAATACTGCTGTGCTGCTTCTAAGAAGCAATCTGCAAAACGCATTTTCCTTTAAAGGTATATTGGAGATGCAATCAGAATTTGGCTGCATTTAAAGTGGCGCTTGGTCTTGTGCAAAGTGACGCTCCTAGCATTCCAGTGATATTTTCACTGCGATCCGGCAAAATGCTTCCTCTTACTCTGCTTTCACTTTCTGGTATTAGATCAAAGGCTGCATAAATCCTTTTCAGACATTCTAAAACCAAACATCCTTTTAAGATATTTTTATAGCTTGTGGTATAACTGGCATAAAATAAACTGCACATATTTAAAGTGTGTGGTTTGATAAGTTTTGACGTACGTCGACACCCATGAAACCATGACCACAATCAAGATATGAACACAAACATCCCCCAAAAGTTTCCCTGTGCATGCTCTGTGGTCCCTTCCTTCTGCCTTCCCCTCCCCTCTGAGCAACCACTGATCTGTTCTGTGTCACTATAGATTAGTCTGCCTCTTTTAGAAGTTTATATAAATATAAGTATACAACATAAACTTTTCTACCTGGATTCTTTCAGGATAATTCTTATGGGATTCATCCCATGTTGTAATGTCTATCAATAGCTCATTTCTCATTCTTTCTTTTTCTGAATAGTATTACACTGTAAGGATATATCTATCAATTGCATATACCTTGCTCTTTTGATACATATATTCAGTTTGGAGGATGATAAAAGAAAGAAAATTCTATTTTTCAATTATTTTATTTAGGCAAGTTGTAGTTAATTTAGTTACATAGTTTTTCTTTATCTCCCTACTACCTGCAGATTTTAACTATTGCTTCTTACATTTTGAACAGCTAAAAATCCTGCAGGGTTTTGCCCCCAAGTTGCCAACTGACTTTCAATGTAGACATTTGCTCTCTCTCCCTCAGTTTGCTGCTTTGGAAAGGAGGGCTAAAGGGAGAGAGAAAAGTGGTTTTTTGTTTTTGTTTTTTTGACAATGACTTTAACTGAGGTTGAAATGTTTCAGAAATCCAACATTTTCTCTTGGGTCTCAGGACCCAAGTATAAACATTATTTTTGTTGCAGTTGCAGTCAACTTCAGTATTGGTTAGCCATACTCTATTACTGACCTTAGACTCACAGTACTAACATATACTTATATATGGTTTCCACATGCTTCAGATAAAAATCTGTTCTGAGGCTAGAAATAAGGGTCAGCACAGAGAATTGTTCGGGGTGTGTCCAATATGACTCTGGGATCACCACTTACATGGTAGTTTGTAGAAATTGTGCCCCACAGAGTGCCTGTAGTTTATAATCTGCACAACCATACATGGAAGCCCTCGGTGGTAGAGGAGGATGAACCAGTGGAGGTAGGAAGAAAACAAGTTTAACCATCGTGTCATAGAAATTCAAGATGGAAATACTTTAAGAAGCCTACATTGGTTACTTTTATCAAGTGTAGAATCAAAAGAGAATCACTTTTCTTTGAGATATTATCAAGTCTCAAAATCTCTCATCTAAAATTGTAGCTGTCACCCAAAAGTAAGTAAAAATAAAAAACCGGTGCCAAAAAATCCATGATGAACAACAACAACAAAAAATCAAACTTCAAAAAATAAAAATAGTAGCCCTCTTGGTTTCACCTCTTTCTCCAGCTGCCTCTGCAGAGCTCCATAGCTTACCCTAATCAGGCTTTCATCTGACCAGTCCAAACAGATCTTGTGGAGGTTGCCAGTGACCTACGTCTGCTAAGGCTAAACCTTCGTCTTGCTGGACACTTTCCTCAACAGCAGCCAACACAGTGAATTAAGCTCTCCTTGAAACACTTTCCTCCTGTCTCTGGTGTCCTTCCACGTCACGCTTGCTAGCAGCTCCTCCTCCTCCTCAACCAGACCCAGGAATAGGCTGGAGGACCCAAGAACTGACCTTGGCCCTCTCTGCCTTTTCAAATAATTTTATTTATTTATTTATGGCTGTCCTGGGTCTTCCTTGCTGCGTGGGCTTTCTCTAGACTCAGAGTGGGGGCTACCATCCAGTGTACAGGCTTCTCACTGCAGTATCTCCCCTTGTTGCAGAACATTGGATCTAGGTGCGTGAGCTCTATGGTTGCAGCTCCTGGGCTCTAGAGTATGGCTCAAAAGTTGTGGGGCACAGCTTAGTTGTTCCAAGGCATGTGGGATTCTTCCTAGACCACAAGTCAAACCCGTGTGCCCTGCATTGGCAGGGAGATGCTTTACCACTCATTGAGCCACCAAGGAAGTCCCCTCTCTTTCTATGCACACTCTTCCCCTCCATGACTTTATCCACTCTTGTGGATGAAATACATTCTCTCAATGTCTCTTTCATTCTCTCTCTCACATAAACACACATGATTTTTAAATTTAAATTCCACATTTCCAGCCAGGATCTCTTCCTCTGTCTCGAGACTTCCCATTAGTTTTCTTCCCTTAAAATACAGTGTGTGCTAATTCAAAAGCTTTTATAGGAGTGAATTCATTTTAGAAATATGTGTTTGGTACCAATTAGGTGCCCAATAGAACGAAAACATGTTTTAAATCGTCAGTTAAAAATGTATAAAACCAAGGGGAGGATCACTATTTGACCAGAATGTCATCTCTTATACTATTTAACCATTTAAAAATGTCCTTTTAATTGAATTTATTGAGAGGAATTACAGGAGTTTGGAACTGGGGTGCCAGACTGCTGCTGCTGCTGCTGCTGCTAAGTCGCTTCAGTCGTGTCCGACTCTTGCGACCCCATACACGGCAGCCTACCAGGATCTGCCGTCCCTGGGATTCTCCAGGCAAGAACACTGGAGTGGGTTGTCATTTCCTTCTCTAATGAAGGAAAGTGAAAAATGAAAGTGAAGTCGCTCAGCTGTGTCTGACTCTTTGCAACCCCATGGACTGCAGCCTACTAGGCTCCTCTGTCCATGGGATTTTCCAGGCAAGAGTACTGGAGTGGGGTGCCAGTGCCAGACTAG